ATGGACAGACAATCATTAACAGTCTAAAATAACTTTCAAATTCCCTTCTTCAACGGACTACCAAAAATCAGAAAGCCACTATAGAACCCAACGATGAAGTCTTCATCTGATGCTCTGAACAGAGAAAGTTTAGAGTGAGGGTTGACATTTCACATTTAGCGTGTTGTTTAACAACTTTTCATGAGTTGACCTTGACTTTCAGGAATTGAAATTCAAATGGCAAAATGGATCTGATGATCCACAATCTAGAAACAGAACTGCTGCTCTTTTGAGGGTCACCATCTCAGTGGCATCACTGGAAAGTCCAGATTGCCTGTCACATTGGGGGTCAGGTCCCAACAGGTGTCTGGGTTTAAGGGAGTTAAGTCTATCCTGACAGGTGGAAAGGGAGAAGACATAAAAACAATTTGTTTTTTCATACCAAGGCTTTTGTGCCAAGGTGGCTATACGTGTCAAAGTCAGGGAATCCCTCCTCCTGGGAACTAATAGGAAGTCTCTCAAAACTAGAAGGGAAAGGTGTTTTCCCCACATAAATCCAGCTTTATAGACATTCTATTAGTGACCTATTTCCCTTTCCTCCAAAACAACAATGAATTGCCCTGTGTGCTAACAACGTATCTCTAAAAAAGTAAAACAAAATTCTGAATTACTTGATAAAAATAATGTTTCAAACTCTTCAGTCATCAGAAGTACACAGTTATCAAAAATGCAGACACTTCACGTGGCATCTCCAGGACCTTCAGCTTTCTGTGCCTGGCCTGTTTTAGCATCTCTATCTTCTGCAGAGTTACTCCCCTCCTTGCCAGCGTCAGCATTTACCCTTTTCCCTTTGGGTACCTTCTCTCCCTTCTTTCAAGGGGCTTCTTTAGGCTTGGGATCTGGCTTTGGAGGAACAGGTTTAGCAGACAACCTTTTGGATCTTCTCTGTGGTTTGTCCTTCACCTTGGCTTTATCTCTTTTAGCATCTCCTTCAGCTTTCTCTTGGGGATGGTGGCAACAGCAGTGGGACATAGGTTCTCGGGGAGGGATGCAGTGGTGCACGGGCTTTGGCCACTCTGGGGAGTCATTCTTGCCTCTTCTTTCAGATTCTTTTTTTGATTGTACAAGTCATTCCTTTGCTCTCCTCTGGCTCTCATGTATCTTCCTCATTAAATAGTTACACCATCTAGTCCCGATTCAATTTCAGAAACCTTTCAGCATTTTACCCTAAGAAGATTTGCAGTTTAATCTTTTTATTAGTTTTCTAGGGTTACTGTACCAAGGTACCACTCTAGGTGGCTAAAGCAATAGAAATGGAATATCTCACATTTCTGGAGGCCCGAGGACCATCAAATTATTGGAAGGGTTGGTTCTTTCTCACTCTCAGAAAGAGAAAACTAATAAGAAGATTAAACTGCAAATCTTCTAAGGGTAAAATGCTGAAAGGTTTCTGAAATTGAATCGGGACTAGATGGTGTAACTATTTAATGAGGAAGAATTTGCTCAGGTGCCTTTCTCCTAGCTTCTGGGGTTTTACTGGCAATTATTGGCCTTCGTGTTCACATGGTGTTCTGTCTGAACATCTTCATGTTTCTGAGGTCAAATTTCCTTTTATAAGGACACTTGTCGCATTGGATTGGAGGCCCCACTACTCCAGCATGATTTCATGGTAACTAAGCACAATCTACAATGATACTATTTTTAAATAAAGTCACATTCTGAGGTACTGAGGGTTAAGACTTCACCACATGAATTGAGATGGGAAGAGACATAATTCAGCCCATAACAGTCTTAAATTAAGAGGAGTAATTTCTGTCTGTGTGTGTATTTTCCCAGAGAAATTTCTTAAAGTCCCAATAAAAAATTTCATTGATCCAATAATGATGATTAAAAGGAGTTATTATTATCTGAGCCTCTATGAAAATCAGTATGCATTTGGCTGCAAGTACCAAAAGTGTGACTCAATGCCAGCCGTATGAATGAACCATCTTGGTGCACAGCCGTGTTGAGCCTTTAGATCATTCAATTCTCAGTTAATATCTCCCTGCAACCACATGAGAGATCCCATGAGTGAACTGCCCAGCTAAACTTTCTCCCAATTTCTGACTTACAAAATTGTGAGCAGAATAAAAGAGTTGTTTTAAGCCAGTATGTTTCAGATCATTTGGGTCATTAAGTCACTATTAAGTAACTTAATGGGAAGAAATGTCCAAACTAAATACCTAACTCCTATAAAAGAGTAAAAGAAGAGAAGCACCCCAATTGAGAATTGAGAAAGAAATAGGAATTTAAAGTAAGAGAAATAAAAAATGTCCCCCCAACCAAGGTATTAAACCTAATTCATAATCATAGAAATTCTACTTAAAAGCATAGTGACAATTGACATTTCTCAGGATTAACAATATTTAAGTCGCATAACATGAAATGTTAATGATGATATGGAGCTTGATGGAAACAAATTTGTACAGCAACCCAGAAAACAATTTGACGATATCTCTGAATACTAAAGATAGTCTGATTCAGCAATGCCATGGCTAGGTACATAACTGATCAATTTTGGTCCACACACACACATACACAATGGAATACTATACAGAAGTGAAAATTGATGAATAAAATTTGCTTATATCAAAATGGTGATTCTCACAAACAATGAATAGTTGATTCTCACAACAATGAATATGGATAGTATGATATCATTTCTACCAAGTGCAAGAGAGGCAAAGGATATAGTCATTTGCAGAAAAAGCACAAAGAAATGCACATGGGGGACCCTGCTTCCCTCTATGAAGGAGAGAGCAGGAGACAACGTGGAAGGCATCTGCAGGGTGACCCTCACTGCAGCGTTTTACGTCTTCATTCAGACACTACCTTCAGGAGTACTGGATGGACTTTTTAAGTACTTTTTGTGTATGCTAAATATTGCAGAATGTATTGTATAAAGTATTTAATTACCAGAATTTCTTTAAACATTCCCAGGCCTGTTTCAGACTCAGCGGATCAGACTGCAGAGGTGGGGCCCATGAATCTTCCCCCTCTGTGATCCCAATAATCACTACTAGTCTAAGCCAGGGCAAGGCCACCCCAGTGGAGGCTATTTCCTTCATGCTCTATTACGTTTTTCACTTTAGAATTCATAATGTTTATCGATCAGTTCCCCAACTTTGGTGCTGCTGTGTTAGCTACCACGAAAGGAGATGGGGAAGCAAAAGCGATGAAGACATTTCCACTGGTTTCAAGGACAAAGGTTAACTCCAATATAAAGGAATTCAAAAACCTTTCAAATTGGACATATTCACATCTGTCGTCTTGATTCCAGTGTTTCCAAATCATTTTTTCCTAATCCCCAGAACATCCACACATCACTGCATCTGTCTGGGAACTTGGCAGGCTTCTTTCTGAAGACATTCCAGACATGCCCCTCTGCCTTGGCACTGATACTTGGCATCTCCCCTTGACATCTCAAGTTTGTCATTTACTCACTGTGTGACCTTGCGCCAGTGGTGTCCCTTCTCTGAACCTCTGTTTCCATCCCTGTAAGTTGGGCAGATGAAGGTCTAGTCTGAGGCTGGTTGAGCCCTTGGAGCGACAAAGCCAGGAACTGTGAATGGACAAAAATAAGAAAAATCAATTCTAATAGTCATAAGGCAACCAGAGAAGAAATAGTCCCAATTCCACCCAAAGACTGATGGGCACCCATTGAGAATCCAGTTTCAATTCTACCTGCAGTAAGGTGTGTGACTTTTCTGAAAATGTCTCTGAATCTCTCTGAGCCTCATGAGTGAAATCAGTGTAATGTTAACACCTGCCTCAGAGCTCTCATGAGGAGTAAATGAAATAACTCTTGTAAAGATATTTTAGGAATTCTGTCTGACCAAGAAAAAGCCCTTGGGGCCATTTCTTATTGGTTCCTGACAAGTGACAGGCTACAAGCAGAAGACTGACCAGCACAGGGTGGGGTGGGGGGGATGTCGGTGGACAGTGTTGTGCCCCACTCACTGCAAGGTGACCTCCCAGACTTCGCTGGATAGGTGACCTTGGCCTGAGAATCAACCACACAGCCCCTCTTTGTGTGGCTGGAGAGGAGCTGAAGCTGTGCTGAACAGGAGGTGAGCATGCGGCTGGCAGAGCAGGCAGGACCCGCAGAACACCTGGGCCTACTGCCTGAGGGGCAGTCACTCCCTACGTCCTTTGGCTGCTGCCCTGGGATCAAACGGATACAACATAACTTCATGGCACGCAGCTGCCAAGGAGGGGCAGGCCCAAGGGATTGGGCTCCAAATCCTGGAAGTGGTTTCCCAAGACACTAGATTTGCAGCACGCAAAACCGGAAAGGCCCAGGTAAACCCGGTCACTGGCACCTGTGCAGTGACGCTCTTTGGCTGGAGAGCTGCGGGTCCCAGGAGCGGGATGGGCATTGGGGAGATGGCGGACCCTCCGTAGGGTGGTGTGCGTGAGCCACATGAGCGCTGCGGCATCTCCTGCACGGAATGGCACCCACACCCGGTGCCCTGCCCTTGCGTGGCTTCACCAGCCAGAGGATCCGTCCTGGAAGGGGCGGGGGGGGGAGGACAAGAGCAGGTGAACAGGCCCCAGAATCGCTCTCCCTGCCCCTGGTCAGAACGCAGAGCTGCCTGGCGCACCTCAGACCACTCCTTGGCTCTCTGGTGGGCACGCCCCGGGTGGGGGATACAGACCCCTCGCCTCGCTGGCGCCTCCGGAGCACGTGCGGGAGGGGCAGGAGCCAGGACCAGGAACTCAGAGGTGAGAGCCAAAGGCGCGGGGACCGGCTGCCACAGACCTTTGGACATCGCAGTGGGGGGTGGGGGTGGAGGTAGGAGTGGGGGTGGGCGGGCGCCTGTGTGCCGGGGCCCCCGTGGCGGGGGGGTAGGGGAGAGGAGAAGGTGACGTCACCCGGGGACCTGGGGCCCCCCGGGGCGGCGGCGAGAGCTCGGCCTCGTGACCCGCTCGCGCCAATGGCCCTGCAGTCTCCCGGGCGACGCGGAGGGGTCCGTGCTGCACCGCCACCGCGCCCCCGCTCCGTGTCCGCACTGCAGAGAGCGGCGGCGAGCAGGCGCCGGCGCACTGGCCCACGTGCTGCGCTAGCGAGAGGGAAGCAGTCTGAGCGAACGCCCGCGCGGGGAGTCAGGGGCACCCGACTCCGCCGCCGCCGCGGCACACAGCCCCCGGCGCGCCCTGTGGGGACCCGGACCAGGAGGGACCCTGCGTCGGGAGAAGGTATCAGACTCACCTGGGGAGGGGGACGCTGGGCCCCAGGAGACTCTGGTGACCCTCGCCTGCCTACCCTAACAGAACTGAAGCAGCCTGCCGGGCAGGGGCCAGGGGTCCTGGGGCGACGCGGGGAGGGGGCTGAGGCCCGCAGGGACACCCGGGGGACGGGGCTGGGCAGGGGCTAGGCCCGGCTGCAGAGGCGACGCCGGGTGAGGCGGGCGGCTGGGGGTTGGGGTGGGCGTGGACGTGGTGGGGAGGGGTGGGCATTAACCTCGCTCTCGCCCGGCTCGAATTCACAGGCTGTGGAGACCTGGGCCTTCAGCGATCATCCTAGGAGTTGGTCCTGATATGTGCCTCGCGCCCTGATCGCTGCCCCCAGATTAGTATCTGAAGAGATTCGGGAATATGCCGTCGAGCCTGTTGCAGGACTGGTGTCGGGGGGAGCACCTGAACACCCAGAGGTGCATGCTCATCCTGGGTGTCCCCGAGGACTGTGGAGAGGATGAGTTTGAGGACACGCTCCAGGAGGCTTGCAGGCACCTGGGCAGATACAGGGTGATTGGCAGGATGTTTAGGAGGGAGGAGAACGCCCAGGCGATTCTACTGGAGCTGGCACAAGATATTGACTATGCTTTGCTCCCAAGGGAAATACCAGGAAAGGGGGGGCCCTGGGAAGTGATTGTAAAACCCCGTAACTCAGATGGGGAATTTCTCAGCAGATTGAACCGCTTCTTAGAGGAGGAGAGGCGGACCGTGTCAGATATGAACCGAGTCCTTGGGTCGGACACCAATTGTTTGGCACCAAGAGTGACTGTATCACCAGAGTTCTGGACCTGGGCCCAGACTCTGGGGACAGCAGTGCAGCCTCTGCTAGAACAAATGTTGTACCGAGAACTAAGAGTGTTTTCTGGGAACACCGTATCCATCCCAGGTGCACTGGCCTTTGATGCCTGGCTTGAGCACACCACTGAGATGCTCCAGATGTGGCAGGTGCCCGAGGGGGAAAAGAGGCGGAGGCTGATCGAATGCTTGCGTGGCCCTGCTCTCCAGGTGGTCAGTGGGCTCCGGGCCAGCAATGCTTCCATAACTGTGGAAGAGTGTCTGGCGGCCTTGCAACAGGTGTTCGGACCTGTGGAGAGCCATAAAATTGCCCAGGTGAAGTTGTATAAGGCCTATCAGGAGGCAGGAGAGAAAGTATCTAGCTTTGTGTTACGTCTGGAACCCCTGCTCCAAAGAGCTGTAGAAAACAATGTGGTATCTCGGAGAAATGTGAATCAGACTCGCCTGAAACGAGTCTTAAGTGGGGCCATCCTTTCTGACAAGCTCCGAGACAAGCTTAAGCTGATGAAACAGCGAAGGAAGCCTCCTAGTTTCCTGGCCCTGGTGAGGCTCCTGCGTGAGGAGGAGGAATGGGAGGCCACTTTAGGTCCAGATAGAGAGACCCTGGAGGGGCTGGAAGGAGCCCCAAGGCCACCTGCCAGGATCACTGGGGTTGGGGCAGCACCTGTCCCTACCTCTGGCAACAGTTTTGAAGTGAGGCCTTCCCAGGGTTCCCGGCGCCGGAGGGGCAGAGGCCAACACCGAAGGGGTGGTGTGCAGAGGGCTGGCTCTCGAGGCTCAAGAAAACGGAGACGCCACACATTCTGCTATAGCTGTGGGGAAGATGGCCACATCAGAGTGCAGTGTGTCAACCCCTCCAACCTGCTCTTGGTAAAGCAGAAGAAACAGGCTGCAATTGAGTCGGGAAACGGGAACTGGGCTTGGGACAAGAGCCATCCCAAGTCCAAGGCCAAGTAGGCTCGGGAGAACAGGGCAGCATTTCCTACTGCAGTCCGAGGAGACAAGAGAGATATTGGAAGGAGGGGAAAGAGGAGCCCAGACAAACAACAGATGAGTTGAGCAGGACAGAGGGACAGGGCAGCCAGACCAAGGCCAAGCTCCCTCACTCTCTGCCAGCTGGAAGGGACTTCAGCAACCAAGACCAACTGGCGACTGGCTCAGTGGGGATCAGGTCCACATCCCCAGAGAGGTGCTGGAGAGGAAAGCAGGGAGTCTCTGCATCCAGCACATGGGGTGCCTGGGCCTCAGATGGGGACCCCAACAAAGCAAAGGCTGAAGAAGGTGCAGCTGGGGGTTCTGTCCTGCTCATCCGGCCACCCCCAAATAACCACCCTGTGGACTTCGATCCCCAGGCCATGGGGGACCTGGAGGAGCCTGCCTGGGGCCTGCCCCTGCCAGAAGGAGCCAGGGCTGGTGAGGAAGAGCTGTGGGGCAGAGGCAAAGACCCTCAGGGGAGGCTGCAGGGTCCAGCCCGTCTTCAGGATCATCTGCGCTGCACTAGGGGAGCCCCAGGAAGGCAGCACCCTGGAGGCCCTGTGCCAGTGAGGCCAGGAGACCCTACGGCTCTGGGAACCCAGTGCCAGCCAGAGGCTGTGCAGGCAAGGAGACCAAAGACTGATGAGAAGACCCCCAGCAGGGGCACTGGGAACCCAGCAGGCCAGTGTCCTCACAGCTGACTTAGGCCAGGGTGGCTGTGAAGGGAAGTCTCTGTTGCAAAGGAGGAGGAAGGAAAGGGAGGACTTGGTGGGGCGGGGGGTTGTTTCTTCTGCTTGTGTCTGTACTGGGCCACCAAACTCCTGAAGAAATCAGGCAAGGAACATCTGGGGCTGCTATGGCCAGAGCAACTCAACAGATGCTGACACCAAGGCCGGTCCCAACCCTGTCACATCGGGAGTCCAGCCTGGAGGCAGCCCTAAGCAGCCAGCCGTGGCCGGGGCGGGGGCACCTGAAGACATCTGTCCCAAATCCCACTGGCCCTGAGCTGGGAGATGACGGGGCGAAAGATGCCCTCTCAAGGGTTCCAGCTGCCTGGGTCTCCCAGGAGGGGTCCCCCCACTCACTGTCGCCAGGCAGACTGCCCCTGTTCCGGTAATCCCACCCTCACCTGCGTAGGCCCTGTAGTGACCCATGCACCCAGGAGATGCCCACCCACTGCTAGCCATCGTTCTTGTGCAAAGTCGCGTACTGTGCGCTCACCCGGGCAGCCGCCTCTGGGCCCGGGACACGTGCTGTGACCTTCCTTCGAGCCCCAGCTCTGCTCCCTGCTGTCTGGCCCTCATTGTGAGCACCACCTCTGCTTTCCCAGTGTAGATCTAGGCCAGGGGCTGCTTGTTCTGGTGGAGCTGTGTGTGTTCTTTTCTGAGCAGCTTCTCCCCGGAGGCCCCCAGTGCAGTCCCAAGAGATGGCGGGAAGGAGGCACCAGGACACTACGTTCACCCCATCACCACGGTGATGACGGCGCCTGCAACAGGAAGAACCGGATCCAGGATGGAGTGCGGCTGCCCTGCGTGAGGCTCCCCGGGGAGCTTTGTGCTTTGGTGTTCCACCCCTGTTGTCACTCCTGACTCAGTTTCCTCCACCCAGTGGTGTGTTCTCTGCTGTGTTTTCCGGTGTCCTGTGACTGTCCTGTGAAAGCCACAAGGCAGGGCCCTGCCCCAGCAGATGGGCTTGGGAGGGGGCTTCCTGAAGCTAGTGGACACTGCCAGAGTCCACCGTCCTGGCAAGAGGCAGACCTGGGACGCTCGGGAAGGAGGGAGGTGGCCATGGGAGCCACAGCAGGAGGGGAGGCAGATGAGGCGACTTGCCAGGAACCCCAGGAGGAGGGGCCCCGGGACCTGTGGCCTGTGGTGGCTGTTTGTAGTTTCTCTCTGTGTTGTGGTTTCCTTCTCTTCAGCGGTTTCAGTGTGTGTTTCTCTTCAATAAATTTCATTCCGTGCTCCAGCTCGCCTCGCCTCTTCTGTCGGAAACTGGGGTGAGGTTGGATGGGGATGGGGTTGGGGTGGAGTGAGGGCCACGGGGGCTTTGTTAACACTGGTGTATACTTGGGGCTTGGTCTACAGGGCATTGTAGAATGGGCTATCTGCACACGTTGGTCACGAGCTAGGGTTTGTGGCTCATGGACCCAGGCAAAGAAACCCAGCCGAGTAGGCTGGACAGTCCCAGTAGACAGGACACTGGTGGGCCCAGGCAGTGGCCGGTTGGGTCTCCAAGGTACTGGGTGAGCTTCTCCGAAATGAATGAACATTTAAGGGAGGATGAGGGACAGCAGGCAGGACCAGTGGCCCTAGGATCCCTTATATCACTGTTGGATTTCAGGGTTTCCACAACTGGTGTATCAAAACCAGGCCCATTTCTGTGAGTGTGTGCGAGATGGGGAATATGTGTGTGTGTACTAGTGATTGTATGAGAGAGTGTGGGAGAGTGGGAGAGTTTGTGAGCTTGTGTCATGTGTCAGCGGATATGTGAATATGTGAACGAGCATGTGAGATGGTGTGTGAATGTGTTAATGTGTGTGTGTGTGTGTGTGTGTGTGTGTGTGTTTTGTTTTTTTTTTTTTTTTTTTTGAGACGAAGTTTTGCTCTTGTTACCCAGGCTGGAGTGCAATGGCGCGATCTCGGCTCACCACAACCTCCGCCTCCTGGGTTCAGGCAATTCTCCTGTCTCAGCCTCCTGAGTAGCTGGGATTACAGGCACGCACCACCATGCCCAGCTAATTTTTTGTATTTTTAGTAGAGATGGGGTTTCACCATGTTGACCAGGATGGTCTTGATCTATCGACCTCGTGATCCACCCGCCTCGGCCTCCCAAAGTGCTGGGATTACAGGCGTGAGCCACCGCGCCCGGCTGTGTGTTTGTTTTTGAGTGTGAGTATGCATTAGTTTTTACGTGTGAGTGAATGTGTGTTAGTGCTCAAATGTATGTTTGTGTTTAATGTGTATGTGTGTTAGTAAAAGTATGTTTGTGAATATGTGAGAGTGAGATGGTGTGTGAATGTGTGTATGACAGTGAATGTGTGGGTGACTGTGTTTTTGACTGTGTACATGAGTGAATATCTCTGTGTTTGAGAATGTTAATGTCTATGAGTTTGAGTGTGTATGTGTGAATGTGTGGAATGGGCGAATGCATGTGTGGGTATACGTGTTAGTGTGTGTGAAACAATTTATGAGAGGGTGTGTGAATTTTCATGTGAGTGCAGGTGTTGGGTGATTGGTGGGATTTTTATTTCTTTAAGGAATCAACAGAGTTGGAAAGAAGGCAGACAGAGGTAGAAGTTGCTTTGCTGCAAAACAGCAGAGACTTTCGTTGCCTCTAGGCTGATGGGCCCTAGAGCTGGGCCTGCCTGCTATCTAATCATCCGTTTCTCACCCCTGGCAGATTCCTATTTTTAAGGTAAACATGCCTTCTTGGCTTTTTGGCTAAGATCAAGTGCAGTATCTATTTTAAGGTCCCTAATCTTAAAATAGATATGTGTTACTGTTATCGTGTGATCAAAGCTGATAGAAACGTCTTTGTGGACTTTTGTTTTCCTTTCTCCTGCACAAATACCTAGGAGTGGGATGGCTGGGCCACAGGGTAGTAGTGGTATACTTAACTTTATAAGAAACTTTCACACAGATTTCCAAAGCTATTGTGACCATTTATACTCTAATGAGCAGTGCCCATTTCTTAGGATACTCCAAAGAATCTTGTATTGCCAGTTTTAAGCTTTTAGCCATTTCGTTGGATGACTCATCATGGTATCTCACTGTGGCATTAGTTTGCATTTCTGTGATGACTAATAATACTGAGCACGGTTTTGCGTGCTTATTAGCTGTCTGTCTATCTTTGTCAGCGAAGCGCCTACTCCCTTGCCTAATTTTTACCCCTGGATTTTTTTTTTTTTTTTTTTTTTTTGAGTTGCGCAAGTTGTTAAAATACTCTGGATACAAGTCCTTTGATATATGTGCAAGGAATGGTGTCCGTTTATAAGCAGACAGGTTTAATTATAATGAAGTCCACTGCATCATTTCTTTCTTTTTACAATGACTGCTTTCTGGGTCCTGCCTAAGATATCTTTCACTGACCCACATTGACAAGCATATTGACCTATGTTTTCTTCTAGAACCTCTGTAGTTATAGCTTTTGCATTTAGGTCTTAGAATGTACCTACATTGGTTGGGCACAGTGGCTCACACCTGTAATCTCAGCACTTTGGAAGGCCAAGGCAGGAGGATTGCTTGAGCCCAGGAGTTTGAGACCAGCCTTAGCCTCAAAAAAAATAAATTCCCTGGGTGTGGTAGTACATGCCTATTATCCTAGCCACTTGGGAGGTGGAGATGGAAGGATTGCTTGAGCCCGGGAGATTGAGCCTGTGCTCCAGCCTGGGTGACAGAGTCAACTCCTGCCTCAAAGAAAAAAAAAATGTACCTAATAAGTTATTGGTGTAAGGTCAGATACATTTGAAAAGACTTTCCTTTTGACATTGATTTTATTTAGAGTGTTGGTCAAAAACTTTTTGATTTTGTGCCTGTGGGTCTGTAACGGGATCCTCTGCAAATGTAGGGAAGGCTGCTGATCCGGGGCTCCCTCCTACCGTGTGTTTGATCTGACCCAGAAGTACGCGAAGTGAGCCTTCCTCAAAAAAGGAGGTAGTTTGGATTTGGAATCAAACATGGTCATCCGAGTCAATGGGAAGGGCTGGTGGTGGAGGCCAGGGCCCCTTGGGGGGGAAGTGAGGGGCCCTGATCCCATTGTGGGGTGAGGGACCTGCCCTGGCCCTGCCTCTGCCTGCCTCCAGGGCTCTGCTCCCCGAGAGGTGAGGAGGCCCCGGGGCCCTCAGAGCGTATTTACCAGGGGAGGACGAATGCTGGCCCGCCTCCGAGGCCCCATCCTAGTTATCTGACTCCTCCAGGACGGGCTTGAGCGCCTCCTCGGCCTCCTGGCATCCTGTCTGGACGAGGCCCTCTGGCCCCCAGCCAGGACCTCTTGGGACCGCCCGGACAGCATCGCCCATCTGGGCTGGGGAGGGGGCCCTGGGGGCCTTGGTGAGCCCTGCCCGACCTGCGAGGATTGCAGGGGTAGGATTGTGGCTGTGCTCTTCCTCAAGGTCCTCCTCCTCCTCCTCCTCCTCCTCCTCCTCCTCCTCCTCCTCCTCCTCCTCCTCCTCCTCCTCTTCCTCCTCCTTCTCCTCCTCATTCTCCTCCTCTTCCTCCTCCTCTTCCTCCTCCTCTTCTTCCTCCTCCTCTTCCTCCTCCTCCTCTTCCTCCTTCTCCTCCTCATTCTCCTCCTCTTCCTCCTCCTCTTCCTCGTCCTCCTCCTCCTCCTCCTCCTCGTCCTCCTCCTCCTCCTCTTCCTCCTCCTCCTCTTCCTCCCCCTCCTCCTTCTCCTCCTCCTCCTCGTCCTCCTCCTCCTCCTCCTCGTCCTCCTCCTCCTCCTCTTCCTCCTCCTCCTCTTCCTCCCCCTCCTCCTTCTCCTCCTCCTCCTCGTCGTCCTCCTCCTCCTCCTCCTCTTCCTCCTCCTCCTCCTCCTCCTCTTTCTCCTCCTCCTCCTCTTCCTTCTCCTCCTCTTCCTCCTTGTCCAACTTTTCATCCACCACTTTAGTGCTGGCTCTGGCACCAGCCTGGGCACCCGCCCCTTCCTGTGCCTGGGCTCTCACGCTCCTGGCTAGACTGGCCTCCCATGCCTCAGACTCCCGAATGAGCCCCAGCATCCAGGAAACTTGGAGACCTCCCGGTCATTTTCAGCTTCCTCAGTGCTTCATCCAGAGGCTCAATAAGGTTGGCTCTGGTGAGCATCTGCCTCAGGCGCACATGGTCGGCCGATGCTCTGGCCAGGGCCCCCTTCTCCATGGCCTTCTGCAGGAGGACTTCCAGCCACAAGGCGACAGCCAGGACAGGCTGGCCTGACTGCTGCTGAGCGGTCAGACACTTCGCCCAGCTGGTCGGGGGCATGGGGTGGGGCTCATTGTCTCCAAACACCTGGACCAGGGGCATCAGACAGTCCTGAGTCTCCGACCTGGTGGGTTCTCCGCCAGGAGTGCGTTCACAAGCTGCAGGTCAGTCCTTCCAGCAGCTTCCTCCTCCTCTCCCTTTCCAAGACCCCCTGCCACACGTGCAGCATGTCGGTGGTGTGGTCTAACCAGACCTCAAAGGACTCCTTCCCCGGGGGGCTGGCTGGTCCCTTCCAGAAAACGCGCCCAGGCTCTGGGACCTCAGGGTCTCCACTCAGGGCTGGACCGCCTCACTGACGGATGAGCCAGCACACCCTGCGCAGCCCCACACCCAGGGCCCAGGACACCGGCCACACTCTCCACCATCTGCCCCTGTTGCTGCAGGAAGTGGAAGACATGCCCGAGAAGCTCCTCGCCTGAGCAACAGGGCACACAGACCGCGTTCCACGGGCCCCCAGTGCCAGGGACTTCCCTGGGAACCAAAACATAGTTGACGTCCCCTTTGAGCCCGACCAGGGCCGTGATGGCTTTATCCTCCTCTCGAAACACTTTGCCCAGCACCGTAAAGTGTCCCATTGGCCACAGGGCAGCCTCGAGGGACTCTTGGAATTCGCCATCATCACAGTCCTCTGGGATGCCCAGGATGAGTAGGCCCCTGCGAGCGTTGACGCCCATCCAACTGCGCCAGGCCTGCAGCGTCGGCGTCACCATTCCCGAAACCCTGGCCAGGGCCGGGCTGATACGAGGGGCAGGAGAGGGTTCCCTGCACGGACCAGGGGGACAAGGGGCGGCGAGGGCGTAGTGGGGAAGAATTGGGGTGGGAGTCTTGGGCTCGGGGAGAACAGCCTAAGTCTCCACAGCGTGTGAATGCCCACCCCATCCCCACTCCCACGCCCATGTCCACCTCCACGCCCTCCTCCCCTGGCGGCAGCCAGGCCCCGCCTCGCCCCCCCGCGGTTCCCTGCTCGTCTCAGCCCCTTCTCCTTGCTGTTGGGACAGGCAGGCAAGGGGCTACAGAGTCTCCCGGGACCCAGTTTCCCGTCCCCCTCCCCGGGTGGGTCTGATATCTTTCCCCGGGGCAGGGTCCCTCTTGCTTGGGGTCCCCACAGGGCGAGCCGGGGGCTGCGCAGGGAGCTGCAGAGACCGGGTCGGGCGCCCCCCCGCGCCCCGCGGCTCCCCGCGCGGGCGTCCGCTCAGACTGTGCCTCTCCCTGGCTCGCTCCGCACGTGGGCCCGTGCGCCGGCGCCTGCTCGCGGCTGCTCTCTGCAATGCGGACACCGGGCGGGGGCGCGGCGGCGGTGTAACGCGGACCCCTCCCCGTCGCCCGCCTGAGACACCTCAGGGCCATTGGCACGGGTGGATCACGCGGCCGGGCTCTCGCCGCCGCCCCGGAAGCCCCAGGACCCCGGGTGATATCACCTACTCCTCTCCCCTAGCCCCCCGCCCCCCGCTACGGGGCCGGGCATACAGGCGCCGGCCCACCCCTACCCACACCGCCACCCCCACCGTGGTGTCCAAAGGTCTGTGGCGGCCGGTGCGGTGCCTTTGGCTCTCACCACAGCAGTTCCTGGTCCTGGCTCCTGCCCCTTCCGCACGCGCTCCGGAGGCCCAGCAGGGTGAGGAGTCTGCAACACCCCACTGCGGGGTGCCCACCAGAGGGCCAGAGAGTGGTCTGAGGAGTGCCAGGCAGCTCTGAGTTCTGGCCAGGGGACAGGGAGCCGGGTTCTGGAGCCTGTTCGCCTGCTCTTGTACTCCCCCTCCCCATCCAGGACTGGTCTTCCGGCTGGCAAGGCCAGGTGAGGCCAGGAGCACCTGGTGCACGTGCCATTCCATGGAGGAGATGCCCCAGGAGCTCACGCAGCTCACACACACCACCTGATGGAGGGTCTGCCCTCTCCCCGCTGCCCATCCCGTTCCAGGGACCTGCAGCCCTCTGGCGCCAAAGCGCTTTGCTGCCCCGGTGCCTGGAGCCAGCACCAAGGAGGGTGACCCAGCACCCAAGCATGCCCGGGCCTTGTCCGTTTTGCAGCCGCAAGTCCCAAGTCTGGGTCTCTGCCTGAGTGTGTGACTGGAAGGGTAGTCCGAGGGGAGTGGGCTACTCAATTTGTCCCCCTGTGCCCTCAGCAGCCTGATGGGCTCTGGGACATTGCTCCCTTGGCCCTAAGGGCAGCATGGGCGTTGTCCTTCCCTGGAGACCTCCGTCTGTCAGGCCTGAGTCAGCCTTCTGTAAGTCCTTCCCCAGTCCTCTGCTGCCCAGGCTAGACACCACACCAGGGCAGAGCAGCCTCCACTCAAAGCAGAGATCCTGCACCTGTGAATCTGACAACCCTGCACCTGAGCTGTCACAGGAGTCTGGGGCCATGTGCACAGCATCTCTACCAGGCAAGTGGCAAGCAGGTTCCCACAGGGTCACACCTCTGGGTGTCGTTCCCTTGTCCCCTTCTCTTTCCTTGCCTGGCCTCCTGTTTGGCAACTTGCAGGCCAAGGTTTCCCCCAGGTGTCCAGCTTGCCCAAGCTCCTTGCTGAATCACAGCTGCAGAGTGTCTGTCTACGACCCTATGGATGGGCATTCAGGTCCTTCCCACCATTTGGCTGTTGCAGACACTTGCTGCCAGCGACATCACGCGTGCTTGTCTGAGCCACCACCGTCAGCGAGACAGGCTCTGGGGTGCACAGCAGGCAGTGGCTCTGCTGGGACTTGGGCTATGCCCATCAATGCCACCACCCAGCATTGCTCGTCTGTGACCCCCAGTGAGTGACTGAACACACGCTTCCTGGCACTGGCGGCTTGGGAGGGGTCCTGGGTTCCCACAGCCCAAACAGCCTTTGATCTTCTCCAGACTCGCCCGTTTGCCCATCCCACGGGGAGAGACACCACCTTGTCGTGGTGTGCCCTGAGTTTCCGTAATCAGTGGCGAGGTCGTGTATCCCCACACTGATTGTTCCCGGTTCCTCTTCTATGGATCTCCTTTGCTCCTTTCCTCCTCATCTGGCAGATGACCATCATCATCGGCCTGTTTCCAGGAAAAAGTTCCTAGTGTCAAGATGGAAGGCTTTCTCCTTGTGATATAAGACATGGCCAGTCTAACATGATGCCCAGAAGCAGGTCACATTGGAGTGAGCCTCACAGTTAGACTCTGGTTTGCCCATATGGTTATGAATGGTTTCAGAATCAAGATGGAGTCAGTTGTGTTCAAACAAAGAAAAACCCAAAAACCTGACAAATAGAGCCGTGGAGGGCCACAGAGGCAGGGTTCCCATGCACGAATGCCTAATAACGAAAGCTATCACAGAAGACCGCAGAACCCACAAATTTGCACAAAGGCCATCACCACCTGACACAAATGATACTTCCGTGAGGACACCTGCCCAGCAACTGCCTGTCCAAGCCAAGCCCCTGACTGATGCTCCCCTGGTTATTAATCCTCGTAGCCACAGATCATGGTCACGAAACAATTGTGAAAGTCTCCTCCCTTTTCCCGAAACACCTTTGTCTTCCCTCACCTGCCTGAATATGCACACGGTTCACTAGGGCGCCCGCATTCGCTCTGCAATGCCTATTTCTGAATAGACACCATTTTCTTAGAGGAAGCCTCCCTCTCTGTGTGGTACTTAGGTTGACATGGTCTTGCTCCCCAGGCTTTTCTACCTCCCAGGTAGGAAACATGGGGTCAGCGAAGAAACGTGTATCTATTGTCACAAAGTAGCCTCCCCAGTTGGCCTCGTGTGTTCGTGTGCTGTCTCCCCACCCCGACGACAACCCACCCCCCGCTGCTTCTCCCCACAGAGGGTCCAGACTGCTAATTCAGGCAAACTGCTGCTCTTCACCTCTGCTGTGAGCGTGTCTGTCTATGGAACCCTTAGTGTTAGACTTGTGACGGCTTATAACACATATTGTCCTCTCTGTTGTTTTCAGCTGTGATTTTTCTGGAGTCCTTCTGCAGAAAGGGCACTGCCCACCCAGCCACCACCCACCCACTACCCCGGGAACATCTGTGGGTCTGGTGTTGCCAACTGGCCCAGTCGGCCCACATTTCCTGTTTTCAGCCTTGTCTCTTCCCACTCTCCTTCCTTCCTCACCTGCTGACTCCAAGTCCAGGACGCTCCAGGACGCCCATTACACGCCCCCGCCACCACCAGCCCCGGCCCAGGTTGGACTGTCACACCTCAACTGTCTTTCTTTCATCAGTCCCCTTTCCCCAGTGTCTCCACCTCTAAACAGTTGACGTGCCTTCCTTTTCAAAACCATTTCCTTTCTCAGCTTCTTCCTCTCCCCCACCCCACTTTTGGGCTGACCTCCTCCCCCTCTACCTACCTCTCTGTCCTTGGACCTTTCTCCTCCTCTTCCCGCCTTTGCTAGATCTCAGCGTGCTGGGGGTGGGCTCCCAGCCTCAACCGTGAGACATACGGCACCTCCGATGAATGCTCTGTCTCTGGACATGACCTCTCTTCCAAGCTCCACACGTACCCATCAATCTACCCACGTGGATGCCCTGTGGACATTTCAGAGCTAAGATGGTCAAACCAGAGGGCTTCGGCCCCTTCACCACGCCTACACCATCCCCAGGCTTCCCCCTCTGTACAGAGGGCTCTGCCTTCTACCTGGTGACTCAAACAAAGCAGCCAGGATTCTCTCCCCCTCCTTTGTTCCTCACTCCCAAATCTAACCCATCACTGGACTTTGTGGACTCTGGTCCAAGACTCCTACCTTTCTCATCTCCAGGGTCCTTGGCCCGCCCTGTCTCTCTCTCTCTGCCTCAACTCTGCTTCCTCCCTGCTCCACCCAGACCTGCTCAGCAGCCAGGGCGATCTCTTTGCAACACCAACAGACCCTGCTCCTCCCAGTGGTATCCCATCTCCTTAGAGTAATCTCAAAGTCCCCATCCTGGTCAAGAGCACCCCAACCCCACTCCTGGGGGCCTGGCTCCTCCGATGCTCTTCTTCACTCCCTGAAACCCATCCCATGTCACCGTGCCCCCAGCTCCTCTCACCACACTCCTGCCGATCTGGCCCCACGGCACAGGGCTTGTTCCCACCTTCGGCCTTTGCCATCCCTCCTTCCTCTGTGTGAGCAGCCAGGCCCCAAGAAACTTCGGTGGCAGCAGCTCCCTCCTCCTCCTCTTCCATGTCTCAGCTAAACTGTCCCCTCCTCCCATAGGCCCCCTCTGCTGGGACACACAAATCACACGCCCTCCGTTTATTTTCTTACTGGCAGCATTGCTACCTGTGTCGGCACATGGGAAATGCTGGTCTGATTCTTTGCTTTTGGGTATCAGGGGCTCCCTCCCCAGGTGGTGAGCCAGTGGCCCAGAAGGTGGGGCGGCTTTGCGTGTGTGTCTGGCCCATTTGTATCACTATAGCAAGACACCTGCGACTTTGTAACGTGCAGAGAACAGAAATTTATTGCTCCCAATTCTGGGGGCTGGGAAGCTGAAAGTCAAGGCATTGGAGACTGGGAAACTTACAAAGAACAGAAATTTCTTGTTCCCCATTCCAGAGGCTGGGAAGCCCAAGATCAAGGCACTTACAGGTTCAGCATCTGGTGGGGGATCAGTGTCTCCTTCCAGGATGGTGTCTGTGCCTGCGTCCTCACATGGTTGTGGGGAGGAAAAGGCAAAAAATGGGCCTACTTAGAGCTTTCCAGCCTTTTACAGGGGCCTCCTCTCATCCCCGAG